ACCACGGTTGCCCCAATCCCAGTCCCAGCAATTCCCCCAACCCTCCTGGTTGTTGTACCAGTAACCCCAACCCTGGTGACCATGGTCGTCCCCGTTCCAGCCCCACTCCTCCCAGTTCCCATCCCAGGCGTGCCCACTCGGCTCCGTGGCAGCCTGCTCACCTGGAGGCGACTGGCTGTGACTTGATGGCACGGCCACAGGCGAGGCTTCCTCCTGCTTTGGCTCAGATTCGTGGGGTTTCTGCGGGGATCCTCGGGACCGGGATCGGCACTTTTTCCGGGACGATTGGGGCTTCGGGCTGCTAGGGGCTTTGCTTTTCTTGGGGGTGCTTTGTTGAGCAGGCTTCTTGCTGCTCACCCTGCGACGAACCTTTGGTGAAGGCTCATCTGCGGCACCGGCCGCCGTGGCAAGCTCTGGGCTGGCAGCTTCCTCGAACTCCTGGCACAAGCTTCGCTTGCACCCATGTGGCTTTGGCTCCTGGCGGCAGACAAGTAAGGCTGCGTATGTTATGGGGTTCGGACGAGACACAAGTTAACTCCTGGGCTTCCACTGCTGCTTCAGATCCAGGCTCTGTAGACTTGCTAGGCTTCTTCGGCGACTTCTTCTTCTTCTTCTTGTTGACTTCCTTGTCCCCTGCCGAGTGAAACATGTATAGCTATATATCCAAGTACTTATATGATTGCCTGGCGGGTCTGCGATAGATTCGCAGGACCTGAGAAAGGAATGTTCCGGGTTCAGTAGGATGGGAATCACCTAGCTGAGCTGAACTATACACTGTAGGAGCCAAGCGGGATGCTGCTCAAGAGTGCACGACCAGCAGCTCCGGCTTCTAGAAGCTCTTTCAAGGAATCCATGCTGGCAAGGATCAGTAAACCCTGCCACAAAACTTCAAAAAGGCTGCGGAGCCACAGTGTGCACGAGCTTTTGAACACCCCCGAAGATCACACACAAGGTGAATTAGGCATTGCAGAAGTCACGAGCAAGTCACGAAAGAGTTACGTAGAATCACGTGCTTTTCCCGGGCTCTAAGAAGACTTGTCCTTTTGTAAACGTGATCCGGGCCCCCCTGTTACGGCCAAGTCACGTAGAAGTCACGTGAAAGTTACGTGTCCTGGGCCCCGAACTTGGCTAGTAATCAATCCCAAGAGGGGCTCGGACCCCTCAAAAAAAGCACCCTCAGCCGAGGCTGCAACCTGCCTTTGATACGGGCCTTGGCACGAAGCCGGCTCTCTTGCAGGGTCAAGGGGTTTTGGGCTTAAGGGTTTGGGTCTCTACTATCCAGCAAGTATTGGCGATTACTGCGTATAGGCGGTCGGTAGGTAGGTAGGTCGGGTTGGCGGCAGATAGATACTGGTATTATTATATTAGGTACTACCAGCACTACGACGAGTACTGCTACCTCCTCCCTTTGAAGGCCTTGCAAAGCTTGTGGCACCAGGGGTGGCTCTGATCGAATCACCCAAAGCCGAAAGCCCAAGCTATCATTATTCCCGACCTCAAATACCCAAACCGTACAGCCCCTAAACTGAATCACCCAAAGCCGAAAGCCCAAGCTATCATTATTCCCGACCTCAAATACCCAAACCGTACAGCCCCTAAACTGAAATACGACGACCCAAACTACTACTTGTAATAAGGAGGCAGGCAAGACCTTCAAAACCCAACTAAAAGCCGAAATCGTATGAGTCCCAACTTACCAGAGGAGCTCGAGCTTGAAGCTTAAGCTCTGCAGAATCCTTTGCCAAAAACCTTAAACCCTAATACTAAACCCTAAA